TATATATTTATATATACACACATCCCAAGTCTGCATATCCCATTGAGAAAGAAAATTAGCATCCTTCTGTTTGCTCCTTTCAAGTGTAAACTGTACATCCAGGTGAATCAAAGATGGTGGCGGCAGAGAATTAAGAAAGATGACACATCCAAATGAGCATGGGAAGGGGAGATGGGGACCAAAAAACCCACTGAAATGTTCCTTGACCCCAAGATTTCCGCAAAAGTTCAAAGTCCTGCACAAGAGTCTGCAGTGTGTTCGCGTACACCTAACATCCAGAGTGTCACAGCCTGTCTCCATTGTGCAAAAGTCCAAGTCACTAATTTAGTGCAAAGGCAGTTCCATTTTCTTGTTTCTTAAAAACAAAAAAATTTCCACTGCCCTGTTCCTTTTCTCCAAAAAGAAGATAGAGAAACCCAGCCTCAAGGTGTCTGCGAGTCTATCGGTTGGTTGTCTGTCCTTGGGCTAAAGCGTCATGTAAACATACAAGGGAGCAGCACCACTGCCCAGAGCAGGTCTGGCCGACGGAGGCCGGGTGGGCGCGCAGGAGGGCGGGAGGCTGGTCGGCTGGCAGTGGAGTCTGGCCCCTTTGGCAGCTTTTTCCCTCCACTTGCTTGGTTTTCCTGTGGTGGTTTTATTTTTTTTGCTGCAACACCTCGGGGAAAATACACCAACGTGGTGGCTGCTCCGTGGCTCACACCGAGGCAATGACAATCATGAGGTGAGGAGAAATGTTGGAAATGCTGGCAAGGAGGTCAGGGGCCAGACGGGACAGGTGACTCTCCGAGAACTCGCAGGGCGGGAAGATCTGCAGCACGTAGGCGGGCTGGAGAAGGCGGGAGAGACAATCTAGTCACATCACACCCTGCAACTACCACTCTATTACAGAGGCCCAAGGCAGCAGGCTAAGGCCGGCTTCCCAGCTTGCTTCTTTAAAATGTGCACGTGTGTAGAGGGAGGACACTGACCTGGTTGGAGCCTGGGTTAGGAACATTGATGATCCCTGCAGCCTGCTTGGCCTGCAAGTATGTGATGAAGGCGGCTTTGAGGGACTCAGTCTGGTTCACAACGTCCTCTTGGTCACGGCCACAGGGCAGGGCCAGCAGCAAGCAATAATCCGTCTCCACCTGGGCAGAGAAGCCAGGTGCCAGTGGTCAGAGCCCGTGTGAGGGAGGCCTGTCCAACCCGGGCACCTGGTTCCAAAGTCTTTAAAAGTTCCCACCTCTGAAACAACTTTGAATCTACCACTCCCATATCCCTCAAAAAAACCCCACTGCCATTTGCTCGGATGCAGTGGTGAGGTGCTCTGCTGCTAAGAAGGAGGTGAAGGTTCAAACTCTTCTGCCCCTCAGAGGGAGGAAGATGGCCTTTAGCTTCCATGAGACTACAGCTTTGGAAACCTCAGGGTGGATTTCTATTTGGTTTCTGTGAGCGTGGGGAAAGCGGTGTTTCCTTGTCCTTTTCAAGAATACCACATCTCATGACCCATCAGGGACCCCCACCTCCCGTTCCTATGGGAGAGAGGTTGGAGCTGTGTTTCTGGGCCTACAGACCTACTGGCAGGTGGTTCTAACAGTGGTGCTGGAGACTTCTCCCTCTGCAGTGGCTCACTCAGCGCCCAGGTCTTACCATCATTCTCCGGGCAACCCCTTCTAGCTGTGAAGCTTCCAGCCGCATCCTCTGGGCGATCCTCAGTGGGGGGCCCCCTTCAGAAAGGGGCAGGGACCGATGAGCCAGGACATTGTTGCCAGAGACGAAGTGGAGCTGCACAGCAGCTGTGTCGTTCTTGAGGGCCAGTAGGCCCTGCCACACGATGGGGTACTTCTGCTCAAAGGAAACAAATAAAGTGAGATCATGGCCCTCCAGCCGCAGTCCGCTAGGCTTGAGTCCACTGGAGCATCTTAGGACATTAACGCAAAGCTTGGGAACCCTCTACCCTCACTGACCTTGAGAAGCTGAACCATGTCCACAGGTCTCTGGGAAGTCAAGTGTGGAGAGGAATCTTGTTTAGGGGTGGCCTGGGCTTCAGAATGCGGCAAAACCAGTCCTGGTGGTGTGCTGGGAGCGGAAGTTGTGGGGACAAATAATGGCTGTTTTGGAGCAGACTGAGCAGGGAGAGGGGCCGGGAGGTCAGGCTTCATGGAGATAGACACTGGAGAAGGGTGGGAAGCTGGGCCTGTTTCCACCTGTGCCCTCGGAACCTGGCCGAGAGGCTCAGGAGGCCTGTTTGTTGGTACTGTTGGGAGGCGAGGCTGCTCAACCACTCCAGTCTGGGTGCCCTTTGCTTCCTGGGAGACCTGCGGCATTTTGCTGGCCAGTGACTGGCCAGGCTGGTTGAGCTGGGAGGGCGGTCCTGGCTGGGAGGGCTGTGTGGATGGAGCAGGCTGGGTGCTCTGAGTGGACGACGGAGCAGGTTGAGCAGGCTGCAAGGGCTCACCTTCTGGTGGAGGGGCCTGGTAGTCAGGAAGAAGACAGAGGGGACAGTCAGCGTCTGCTGGACACAAAGACCCTGCCTGCAACAGGCCACAGGGAGGCTCGGCCTCTAGGAGATGCAGAGGAACTGCAGGTGATACTCTGGGGAATCACGTCGTTGCCCCCCCCCCCTGCAGAAAGCAGCCACCTCCTTAAATCATCCCCCGGGATGACACTCTTTCATCCTGCAACTCAGAAGTTCTTCGCCTTGTGTGAGTCCCACAAAAAAGGTAGTGTTTCACGAAGGGCCTGACCAGCTCCCTTCTAGCTTAACCACCCTCCCGACTAAAAGGATAATTCCTAACACACCACCACTGCTTCAAGTCTCCTGAGCCCCCGTGTATCCCTAACAAATGAGGCAGGAGCCGTGGCTTCCTCACCTGAGCAGGAGTCTTGGTCCTGGAAGCTGGGCCGATGGTGGAAGCAGCAGGAAACTGAGTGTGAGCAAGCTGGGCAGGTGCGTGGTAAGCCCGGATGTCCCCGTACCTGTACTCCTGGAACAACTCCCCACTTGAATGCACGATCTGCACCCCATGGGTCACCACCACAGGAGGGGTCAGTGGCAGCCCCTGAAGCTGGTTGCTAGGGGTGACCGTGAGGATGCGGGCTTCACCATGGGGAGCAGGTGCTGCTTTGGCATCAGGCGTCTTGACCACTTCCTTCCCAGGCTGTGGCGGGGCCTTGCTGGCTGGTGGCACCTTCACTACGCCCTCGGCAGCCCTGGGCTGCTCGCTGACCGCCGTCACATGTGGATGCACCATGATCCGCACGTCCCGAGGCACGGTGTATGGGTGCAGCCGGTACTCAGACTGCATGACCAGCACCTCAGACTGCACGGGGGCTGCGGCTCGAGCAACAGGGAGGTGATAATGCACTTCTTCCTCAGGGGGATGCTGGGAAGCCAGAGCAGGCACGCTGGCTGGGGCAGGCTGGGGAGTGCCCGCGCGCTGCGGGGCCCTGACCTCGATCTGCTGAGGCTGCAGAGGGGCCCGGGGGGAGTGCAGCGTCTCCGGCCGGATGCTGTAGGTGATGCTGGGCAGTGTGGGTGTGTTCATTCTCACCTCGCCCTGTGACAAGTGGCTAAGGGACACGGTCTGGGTGATACTGTGGGGAGGCATGATGACAGACTGCTCCGGGTGTATGCTAGAGATGAACTGTGGCACGGGAATGCCTGCTGCCAGCATGACTGTGGCATTGGTAGAGAGCGCTGTGGACGCAGTGCTGCTGGGGTGACAAGCCCTTGGGAACGGGGAAGGAGTAGGGGCAGGCCCACTTGGTCGAGGAGGATGTGCGTCTGGCTTCGTGACCGCCAAATGGGGAGCCGCTCTATCTGTGGGGGTGCTGGGTCCTGAGTTTACATGGTTCAGATCTGCAGGCAGTTTGCTGGGCAGAGCAGGAGGGTGATGCGAAGTGAGAGTCGACCCCAGGCTGGCTGGCTGCAGCACCTTGGTCTCTATTTTCAGTGTCACAGGGTCAGCAAGCTTTTTATTAGTAGTGACTATGCTCGGGGTGAGGACCAGCTGGTTGTGCACCAGCACCGGCGGGGTGTTTATGCCCTGGGTGAGCACCTTGACTGTGCTACCCTGGGTGACGGGTGTGGACACCGAGAGGTGAATGGGCTCAGACTTCTCCAAGGCTGGGCGGTCGGCCTTCACAGATGCATTGTACGTTTGGGCAGTTAGTACCAGAGTGGAGTGGGTGGCCACATTCGCATAGCCTGAAGGCGTCTGAGGGCCTTTGGGTGCAGGCTGAGATGGTGTGACGGCATCAGGTTTCACCTGAGACTTGGACACCGACTGCTGAAATTCAATGTCCATTGCACTCGCGGGGGGGATCTGACTTATCTTGGCACTGATCCGCTGTGGGCCTTCAGTCTTCTGCCCCGAGTAGCTCAGGAGAACCACCCCTTCTGAGGTGTTGACACGAAGCCCAGCTCCAGAGCCTGTGTCAGCCGGACGATCGTCAATCACAGACATGGACCCCGGGTGGAAGCGGCTGTTCTCATTAGCGGTTGATCTCTGCTTGCACTTTGCTGACGGTGCAATCACCGCGCCTGCTGCCATGGTCACTGTGCCTGTTGTGGCTGTCACACCACCTGATGCCCCAGCCGGTGCCCCTGCTGTGACGCTCCCTGCCCCCGTGGCAACATTCACCGTGCCTGTTGGCGCACTGACGGTGCCCGTGGCAGTATTCACTGCACCTGGGGTGGCATTCACCGTGCCCACAGCAGCATTCACCGGAGTGGTGAGAACGTTCACGGGGCCTGTCAGGACATTCACTGGTCCCTTGAGGACATTCACAGGACCGGCGGGAGTGTTCACCAGGCCTTTCAGTGTCGTCACAGAGCCCTTCACGGGCCCTTTCAGAGCGTTCACCGGGCCGGCCAAAGCATTGACTGGAACCAGTGAGACATTCACCAAACCAGTCAGGGCACTCACCAGGCCAGTCAGAGTCTGAGGTGGTTTTGCCAGAGTTATCTTCTGTGAATTCTCCAAATCGATGCTGACAGGCATCCGGCTAATGACAGAAGTAATTTTGGGAGCAATAACTGGAGTTGTCTTTTCTTTGTCAGAGGCTACCGGCAGCTCTCCGGCTTGAGTGTCAGAGGCGTTTACTGGCTTTTCCTCTACAAGAGGCTTCTTGGGTTCTGGAGGAGCAGGAGCCTCGGTCAGCGTGCAGGTGGCACTGACAGGCTCCGCGATGGAGGCTGTGACACTCGTGGACGTGACGCCCGAGGCAGACACGTATTTGGGGTCCATGAGGATCTTCCTTAGGGTACTGGAGCTGGTGTCGACATCGGAGGCTTTTGTGTCTGGGGGAAGAGCTGGAGATGGTGTAGACTGAGCCCGAGGCTCCTCCTGCCTGGTGATCCACTCGGTCACCTTAGAGGGGGAACTCTGAAGTGAGATCCCACCAGAAGTTACTGGGGCTGGAAGCTTTGCTACGGTCACAGATGGAATCATGGGAGTGGGCATGCTGGAGTCACTGGGTGGGGTCACGGGGTCACTTTCAATAATTGAGTGGACCTTGAATCTGGCTTGATGGTCATCATCCCCAGGTACTAGTGGAGAAGGGGTGGTTAGGTCTGGGGGCACAGGTCCTTTGACTGGTGTCTTTTCTTCAAAACTGCTCTCCTCGGATACATTCTCCCTGGGTGGCGTCTTGCTTGAATCAGAAGCACATGACACAGAGGAGGTGGAGTGGGGCTTTTCACCCTGTGGCGTTTCTGGGGCTTGTACCACTGTCTCAACTGCAGCCGGGCTCTTGCTCTGAGCCTGGTCAGGTTCTGAGGCACGGGGCGGCTCTGGCACAGCCCCTCCTTTCTTGTTTGTATTCCGTTTGCGGCGTGATCGAGTCGTCTTCTGGCGTCCTTTGTCTTTCCGAGTAACTTCTGCTTCCTTGAACCCTTTTGCCTCTTGCACTGGGTGGGAGGGTTCGTTGGTATTGTCTCTGGCCTCCTTGGCATCTGCTGGGCCTGCACAAGTGTCAGGAGCACTGGTGGGTGGCACAGAAGATTCTGTAGCAGCCTCAGTTTCCAAGAGGCCAGACACAGCCTCATCTGTTTCAGGCTCCATTCCTTCCTCAGGAGGCTGTGGCCCTTGAGAGGTGGGCTGGGCATCTGATCGAGACTCTGAAGGGTATGTGGGGGGTGCCGGGAAGTTTTCCGGCTCCCCAGGAATGTCATTGATGATGGAGCCAATAGCTGCAGCAAGTTCCGTTTCACTTGCTTGATGGCCTGGCTTGTCCCTGTCCTCTGCGGTAAGGCCCTCGGGTGCCTCTGCAGCCTTGTAGGCTGAGGAGGCTGAGGTTGCTGTGAGCTTTGCAATGTTCTCCACGGCCTGCTCCAACTCCATCTGCTTGGCCAACTGTGTTGTCTCTGGGCACTGTTTAGAGTCAGACACATCATTCTCTGGTTCCCTGTTTGGATCAGCAGGATCACTTTTCAACTGGGATGATAAGTTGCCTTCTTTTGGGGGGATCTCACTTTTCTCAGGGGAGACCGCTGTTATGGCCCCTTCCAGCTCCCCGGCCAGCCCAGCAGCGCCTGTGACTGCACTGGCACCCGCATCAGCATCCACGCTCTTCACGTTTGCAGACCTGTCCACTGCTGACCTGGAGTTCCGGGCCCGCCCTCTCTTTGCTTTGGAGGTTTTTTCAGGCACTGCTTTTTTCTCCACCACTTCAACCGGGGGAGGTTCAACTAGGTTTTTATCTGTAACTGTTTCTTTTCTGTCGTGTTTCTGTTCACTTCCAGCTTCTTCTTTATCAAGTCTGGATTTTGAGTTGTTTTCTTTCACGATTCCTTGCAAACCCACCTCAGCGGCGGCCTCAGGACGGTCAGCTACGGGATCTGGTTTGGGGTCATTTTTCCCCTTTCCTTTGCCTTGCGGGCCACCAGCAGAGCCTGATTTCTGAGCTCGAGGGGATCTCCATCCTTCAGCTGGTCTGAGGGTCTCGCCTGATTCTTTCACCTCAGTCTCCTCCTCCTCCTCGGCCCGACGGCGTGTTTTCGGAGGCCTCCCCCTTCGCGGGGTCGTAGGGGCTGCTGCAGCTTCCTGGAGCTCCCGCTCCAGCCTTTTTCTGGTCAGGCGAGGCTGCTCTACGGGCTCTTTCACAGGAGAGCGGCTCTCATGGTCACTCATGGTCGCATACACACTCCTCACATTTCGGCGCCTCGTCCGGCTGAGCGGCAGACTTGGCTCAGGGAGTTCAGTGTCCCCAGCCGAGGTTTTAGAAGCAGTTCTTGTAATTTTCTCTGCCTCCATCTTTAATTCTAGTAGTTTCTGTGCTTCTCCCCGAGGGGAACTGGATCTCTTTAGCTTTTCCCGGTCTATTCTCTCACTCTTCCGTGTCACAGGTTTCTCTACCACGGTCGCTGCAGCCGCCTGAACTGGGGTCTTGGAACGTTTACTTTTGTTTGGCTTTTTCTCTTTTGCAACAACTGGAGGCTCAACTTCTAGATCTTCTTCGGAAGCTTGAGGCTGGACCTCGGGGACAACTTCAGCTTTCTGATTTGCATCAGGCTCAACATCAGCAGTGGAGTCTGGCTTTTCTGGCTTTGGTTCACTGGCTTCCTCAGACTTTTGGGCTGGTTTGGACAGTGGCAGGGCACTGTCCGGTTCTGGGTCTACACTGGTCTCTACCTGGGAAAACGAAGCCCCAGGAGTGGGAGGCTTTGCATCCAGGTAAGGCAGCTGGTCAGCTGCTGACTTTTCTTTAACCACTGACGGTGTTGCCGCAGCATCTTGACTGGAGTCTTCTCCTAGGGGCACGTTTACTTGTTCAGGTTGTTCCACGGGGACAGGAGCTAGTTCAGACGCCGGTTTTGCTTCTTCGGAGACTGGGGCGGGCTCCACAGTCTTCTCTTCTGCTACTGGAGGCAGCTGTGTAGGTTTCTCATTAGCTGGCTTCTCTAGTGACGGTGGTGCCGAGTCTGGAGTGACAACCGTGACACTAGGAGGCCCAGCTGATGATGGTATTTTCAGTTCTGATTCTTTAGTCTCAGTGGCAGATTCTGGGGTCTTGGGTGGATTCTCTGTATCTTCCTGTTTCTCAGTCTCTTTGGACTTCTGATCTTTTTCTTTTTCCTTCTGTTGCATTCGTGTGAGTTCCATAAATCTGCTATGAAATAGAACTACTGGCTCTTGAATGAAATCGGCTGTGCTGTTTGCTCCGTCAGATGCCTGCCTCCCATACAGCCTCCCGGAAATGAAGTCAGAGTCTTCCTCTTTTCTCTCTAGGTGCTGCAGTCGTTTGGAATCTTGTTCAAAGATTGAGCTGTGTAAAAATCGAGATGCGAATAATTCTTGTCTTTCCTGCTCTTCTTCTTTATGGTCATCTTTTTTATCATCCATTTTGCCCTCAGAATCAGTCCTAATTTTCTTCTTTTTCATGTACCAGGATGGAATAGGTCTTGGGGCAGAGTCTACCTTTTCTTTATCTTTGTTGTTTCGAAAATTAGCAAATCTAGAGTCCCAGTCAAGAAAAGACCAATTTTCTTCTCGGGATGAAGAAAGAGACTTGGCCCTTTCTAGCAAAGCCTTAGTGTCTGGGGTGATCGTCTTATCCAGGGCAAAAGAGTAGAATTTGTTTTTTTCTAGAGAACTTGAGAGTCTTTCTTCTCGCTCACGAAGTTTGTCTTCTCTGTCCCTCAATAAAAAAGATAACCGGGAACTTTCATATAATGCAGAGGCTCTGGGGGAATGAGACTTGGGTTCACCATCTTCATCGGAATCAGAGGGCACCTCACCAGGTTCCAAGTCTCGTACAGACCTCTTTCGAAGGCTGTCTCTCTTAATTATGCTGTTTGGAAAACTCACATCAAATCTGCTGGCATCTTGTTTCATCTGAGCATCCCAACGACTCAGTTCATCTTCAGAATGCAAGACAGAGAGCTTTAATTTAGCCATATCTGCCATCTGTTCTCTTCTGCTAGAATCATAAGGATTAAATTTTAGGGACTCTTCCCTGACTGTTATATTAGAGTATGAGAAACCTTTTTCATCTATTTTAGGGGATCCTCTTACTGACATTAGCCTAGGGGAGCCCAGGGGGTCATCATCATCATGGAAGGAACCATGGCGGATGCTGGGAGAACCACCAGTCCTTTCAGATTCCTCACTGATTTGGCGTGAACTCCTGTAATTCCTTTCTCTCTTGCTGCAGATTTCAAAGTCAACATGATCCATCCTTTTTCTTTTGCTGGGAGGAGAGTCATCGGTGACATCTTGTGGGGGTTTGCCCACCTCATGAACAAGACTACGCCTTTCGTACTCATCCACATCTTTTTTAGGGCTGCCAAACTTCTCAGACTTGGCTATTTCCATCTCCATCTGCTGTTTTCTACGGCTCTGCTCCATCTGTTTTCGGTAACTCTGTGTGTGATCAATATCAATGCCAATTTTTTCTTCAGCAGTTACTGAATGTGATTTCTCTTGTCCTGATTTGCGTTCAGGTGTCTCATCATGAAGATGGCAATAGTTTTTCTTAATATCTTCTCTTTCTGGTCCTGGATCATCTAACAGCTGTAGTTGTTTGAGCTGGGCTTTGGAGGAAGTTGGTTTTTTTGATGAGACTTCTTGGTTTTCAGAAGATTCACCAACTGGTTCTCCCAGTCTCGCCTGGAGGTCCAAGTTGGCCCTTGAGCCAGCCCCAGCAGAAATACTGGTAGGCTCCTGAGAGTCTTTGGGGCTAGGGACAGCATTAAGTCTATCCAGTTTAATTTTTTTGGATTCTCTTTTAAGGATTTCTTTCCTCAAAGGCTTTCTTTCAGACTCGCCTTCCCTTAGCAGAATGGCATCTCGAGATGACAGGTCAGGCTGTTTTTTCAAAAGCGCCCTTGCCTCCTCCACCTCTGGACTGCTTTTCTTGACTTCTGATTTCTGCCTTTCTGCTTTCGTATTTGTGTCAGCAAAACGCCTTTTCCTGGCTTCCAACTTCTCCAGCTCGGCAGCACTGACCCCCTCAGCAGTCTGCTCTGGTTTGAGGTGTTTCCTGGGCTTAAGCCTGCCTTCTTTATCTATTATTTCTATGTGGCTGGAAAGGCCCTTCTCTTTTGACACTTTCATTCTTACAGATTCCAGTTTAGACAGGTCAGATTTTGTAGTCTCGTTTTGAGAGATCTGAAGTTTTTGATCTAGAGCAGCTAACTTTACAGAGTCATTATCTAGCTTGCTTTTCAGCTTTTCAAAAGTGCTGTGGTCAATAACCTTGCCTTCTTTTTCTTTCACTCGCGTTAAAACCACGCAAGGCATGAGTTCGAGACGGTTCTTTGCAATGCCTTCTTTGTCAGCTTTCTCTCTGCTCAATTTATTAGAGTTCCTTGGTTTCTCAGGGCTTAGTTCCCTCTCATTGTCTTGGTCTGTTTCCGAAGACTGAGAACTAGGGGAATGAATTTTTCCTTTTCGTTTCTGCTTGTCGGTTTTATCCACTTTGTCCTTTCTAATTAAGCGTCTCTCTCTCTCCCCTCTCTCAGTATGATCAAACGTTCGTTCTTTCTCTGCTTTTTCAGCTTTTGTATAACGTTCCACACGAGGTTTGTCAAGCTTATCATATCTTGGAGGGGAAAGTGAGCTACAGCTTTCACTGCGCTCTGAAGACCGACTATACATCCTTCTCTCAGAATCACTGGGCAACCGATCTGACTGGGAGGGAGATGTTCCAGGACTCTGAGGGCGTCGCAAGTGAACCGGACTCTGACTTCTTTCAATAGGCCTCCTCTCGTGGTCTCTGTCCCGGTCAGAATCAAATCTCTCTCGCTCTCTTTCTCGTTCCCTTTGCCTGTAAGTGTACTCCCGAATATCTTGTTCATAAGGATCATTTCTGTAATCCCTGTATTCCCGAAGATCATCATAATAGCGTGACTCATAGTAGTCTCCTTGGTAAGCTTCCCATTCTGCTGCATAAAATTCTCTCCCTCGAGTTGCATAGTCCCGCCTGGAATCCTCAGGATATGTCCCAGGAGCACGCACAGTCTCATAATATGTACGCTCTTGGTTATAGTCATAGGATGCCCTTCTCTCTTCTCTGAAAAAGAAAGGAAGAGAGAAAATATTAGTTTGTTCCTTGGCGCTTAGAGATTAAATTGCATGTAGGTATTTAGAACACTCTACTTCTAAAAATCTTTGCCATTATTAAACCGTTATTTAGATCTACAGTCTAAATAATGATTTGATAATGGAAATTCTGTTTGTTTGAATTGATATGTACTGAAAATGTAAATCTGTTGCTGGATTTCACAGATTTAGGTGAAAAGAAAAGTTTCAGTAATTTATTCACATTGCGTATATACTGAAATTATAATATTTTATATATGTTGAACTACATGAAATAAAATTTTCTCTCTTCATTAACTTTTAAAAGTGAGTTACTAGAATTCACTTTTATTTTTTATTTTAAATAAAATAACCTACATATTAATTTTATATTAGAGATCTTAGTCATCTGATGTTGTGGTTCAATCCATATTGAAGACTACAGTCTTCTTACCCTCTACAACAAAGGCTTCATTCAGATCCTCCTCAGTTTCAGCAAGCAAGGTTGTATAATCTACATAACGCAGGCTGTTGATGAAATCTTCCTCCAATCCTGATGCCACATCCATCCTCATAAAGTCTAGCCTCCCAAATAATCTGTTCTGCAAATAGACTGAAAAGGTATGGAGCAGGACACATCCCTTCCTGACACACTCTTTTCCAGATTTTGAACGATGCACTGTTTCCTTGCTCCATTCTGATGACTGCTACCTGGTCCAAATATAGGTTTCATGTGAGTACAACCAAGTGTATTCCCATTCTTTTTGAGGTTAGCTACAATTTGTTGTGATCCACACAGTCAAATGCCTTTGCATAGTCAATGAAACACAGATACACATTCCTCTGGTACTCTCTACTTTCAGCCAAGATTAATTTAACATTAACCATAATATTCTCTAGTACCACAGCCTCTTCTATACAATGCCTACACATCTGGCAGTTCTCTGTTAATGTGCAGTTTCAGTCATTTTTGGATAATTTTTAGCATGGTTATGGAAAAGGGAGAGTGACAGGAGAATAGGAAAAGAATGATAGATAATTCTTTTTTTGATAGATAATGCTTATATCGGAATAGGTGTGAAGGAAAGGTCAATCTGAAATGAATAGACAATCAGACATTACACGTACTACATTTAAAATAGCAAACAGGATATATACTATAGATTAAATGAGGGTGAAGAAAACAAAAGGGGAAAAAAGGAAATAGAGAAGATGGGCAGAAGGACTACACAATATGGGGTTGCTTAGACATTGATGGTAAAAAGTTAATTGCATCAATGGTAATTAATGACTTTGACTGATTAAAACAAACAATGCCATTTGTAAACTTTCACACAAAAAAACCCCCACCCCCACCCTGAAACAACTAAAACAGTAATCACGCATTGTTATATGGTCTTTGCAATCACTTGCTATGCATTGGAAAGCTGGACAATGACTAGGGATGATAGAAGGAGAATTGATGCCTTTGAGCTGTGGTGCTGAGGAAGAGTACTGAATATGCCATAGACTGGTAGGAGAACAAATAAGATCATCCCAGAGAGGGTGAGACTAGGCTGCTCTTTGGAGGCAGGGATTCTGCAGCTTTGTCTGACATACTTTGGACATGTTGCAAGGAGGGACCAGTTCTTAGAGAGGGACATCATGCTTGGAAGGGTGGAGGGACAGCACAAGAGAGGAAGACCCTCGATGAGATGGATTGATTCAGTGACTGGGGTAGTGGAGGTAAGTGTGTCAGGGACAATAAATAAGATTGGCACAGGATACAGCAGGGTTTAGGGCTATTGTACAGAGGATAGCTATGAGTTGCAGGCAACTTGATAGCATATAACAACATATTCTTTTATGCTGAATCCTCACTTAAAAGAGATAAACACATACTATTTTAGATATAAAGAGCTCTGGTTAATGTAGTGATTAAGGGTTCAGCTACTGAACTAAAAGATCAGTGATTCAAATCTACCACCTGTGAGAGTTTCCGAAGCCACTGTACCTTGGTTAACTGTCAGTGTTTAAGTCTAGAGTACTGCTTTAAGAACATTCAGCAGGAAGTAAGCTGAAAACAGCTTCCTGGGCAAGCATGCAGATGTGTCCCAAGAAAATAGGGTGCATTCATGAGACCTCATAACACAGAAGAGCAGCTGTTGAGGCTTAATTAATGAGGAACAAAAGTCCTTGAGAGGGCTTGTGGAAATTAATGAGAAGCTATTGTCCTTGAGAGTTTGCAGCAAACAGAGATAAGCTTTTTGTGTGCTCTTTAGGATTTTCTGAGTAAATCATTAAAAAAAGCTCAAGTTCTTGGCTATCCAAGGACACATTCCTTTCTAACCCCAGAGATATAATTGTTAGATAATTGTTGCTGTGTATCAAGAAGTCTGGTTATTCCAATAGTGATGGAATGCTGAGAAAAAGAAATGCTCGGGGGCCTTGGCTTTTGCCTCAGTCTCCTGTGCCTTGCTTTTGCTCTCTGTCTGTTTCCTCCTCAGCGCTCAGGTCGGGCTTGAAAACGGCACCACCCACTCGGCAGAAGATAAATGTCTGCTTCCATCCAGATTTTACAGCCTTGAAGACAGAAGCCATCTCATGCCATCCTATATGGCTACTGTGAGTTGGAATTGATTCAGTGGCAGGGGGATTGTTTCTGTGATACCTGGTTTAACTGGGTTCAACATGATTCTCAGGATTCAGATCCTGCAAATAAATGTTACTGAGAACATTTAGGCCACCATATCACAAAAAAAAAAAGTGAAAGTAACATTTTCACATATAAAGGTGAATGCATGATGTTTTCTCAAATTCTGAAGTGAACAAGATACCTAGAAGGTGCACTTTATAGTGGACTTGAAGTCATATTTTAAAAACACTGCTTCAAGTTGTCTTTTAAACTAAAGAAACGGAAAATATACTTAAAATCATGACAAATTTCTAGAATTCCTAGGTGTGTGTGTGTATGTATAAATATCAATGCTGGAGCACTCTTCAGTTATTATCAAAAGAACTATTTTCCTGAGTTCTATGACAACAAAATAAATGAGAATTCCTATATTGAAGGAAATACAACAAAAATGCAGGGCACAACCTAGCTGAGAACTTGCACCTGAACAAAGGGCTCTTGCAGAGGTATGTCCTAGGTACCTAAAGAGTTGAGAAAGGCTAGGTTTTTGTTATTTTGGGGTTTTGTTTTTGTTACATAAATTAAACCATTTATGATAAGCCTGAGATGCTTCAAGTGGGGAACTTCTCCTGGTCTTTGACTTCCTTCAGTCTTCTGATAGGAGACGTCACTGTGACTGCAGAGGTGATGCTGCAGGACCGGGACCACCAGCTACTGTCTTCATGCAAGAACTACAGTGCCTGATGCACACAGCTCGCCTCTTCATTTTGGTTTTGCCACAGAAGGATCAAGTGTACTTGGCATCCTGGCTGATTTCTATTTTCTTTACCATTGTCCTGAGGGAGGCACCATAACGGATCCTGTTTTTATCAACAATCCGAATTTCTTGGAGCAGTTGGTCATTTTGCCACAAACCAGCACCAAATCCATAGAGAAAGGCTAGGTTTTAAGATAACTGTCTACATGACGGCACACAATCCAAATTTCCATATTACCTTAAGTAAATGAGAAATTTATCTGTATCATAATATGGTCCTTTACATCCACCGGAGGAGAATTACACTGAAGCACAAGGCTTAATGCAGACAATCCAATCATTTAGTAACCTGTGATCTTATTAGCAAAGACATTAGGCCACTGAGCTTAGGTAAAATGAGACAATAGTCACCCTTCTATCTCCCTCATATAGTATTTAAAGAATCAAATGAAATAATTGCTTGGTAAACTGTTTGAAAACCAGAGTTACAGGTTGCATTCCTGAGCTTAAATGTCATTGAAGGGTAACATCTCCACCTCTTATCACCAACCCCAACCCCCTTTTCAAGTAGTTAACTATACAGTGAGATGATTCTTCTGCTCTATACAAAGATCCTCTAGTTGTACTGTAAGGAATGTGTTCTATAAGCACTGCTACTTGACACCAGATGGGGCCAAACTGGGTAACAATGACACCCAAGTCTCTGACTCTCTCAACTTGCTACGGGAATAAATAATTCCAGTCTACAGGGATAAATAATTCTGAGTAAGGAGCAAAGTTGGGGGCAGATCATCACTAAATGATTACATTTAAGTGGGTATTTACTAGAAATTAAACCCGCACAGCATTATCCAACAACTGCAAGGTACTTTTAAAAATAATTCATGTAAAAAAAAAAAATAATTCATATACACACAAAATATTCTAATGAATGTTTTTACATCTTTGGCACAACTGGCTTCCAACAGACTTTCCAACCACTTATGGTTAAGAATTCCTATTATCACTTAGTGTATTTGCTCTTTAGTATCATTTAGGACTGAGAACGATTCATCTTCTGGGATCTGGATTATCACTGACTACTAAGAAATCATCAAAGCTGCAGAAGTTTTCATTTAAAGATTCCCAAGTAGTCAGTGACTATTTCCGAGATGGTAAGGATGGCACAGGGCGAGATTCAGATCTGCTGTTCAGAGTGCTCCTATGAGAGAATGTTTCGAAGGACACGTACTTTCTACAATTTAAACAAAAAGAAACTGACATGGAAAAGAAAGAGTAAGAAGAGAAATAGGTTTTTGGTAGGAGCTCAGTATTCTGCTCATTGTTGTTAAGAGTCCTTTTTATACTTGAACTTTGGGGGCTAAAGACTTTTTTTTTTTTTTTTTGACACCGAAAGGCCTTTATTGCCCACCCACCCCCAAGACTTTTTTTTAAAAACACAAATTCTTTGTGACATTCTGGGAGATTTAGTCACCAAAGCACATGTAGATAAAGAGCTTTATCACATGAATGACCAGTTTGGACAGCAACTGGAGAAGCTGGTAGCATTGTGTGGTTGTGAGTTAGCCTTTCCTCAGGGCAACCTTGTACATAACTGGATGGGACTGCTGTGACTCACAGGTGTTTGCTGACCAACTTTCAGAAGTCTATTAACCTTAGATTTCTTCCTAGCCCATCTTCATCCAGAAGCTCTGCTGGAACCTGTTTACCAGAAGAGCAAAACAAAATGCTTTGTTGACAGACAAGGAATGGCTGCCCAGGAAGTACATCCTATGGCCAGGAACCGAACCTAAGATCTCTCACAGAAGACATGAATTCTCCCATTAACCACCACTGCCTTCTCAACATCATGACACGATGTTTTAGGGTAAAGAATAAGGGTGATTGCCACTTTGAAACCTTGATTCTGAACTATGTGTATACATTTCTTATAAGCAGCAGAAAAAAACTAGCAAATACTAGAATACCAAGAAAGAAAAAATATTAACAAGGAGGAAAGATGATTTACCTTCCCTTTGCTTAGATTACTAAAAGAATGCTATTTATATTCTTTAGAAAGATGTTGGGTTATGTTTTGAAGTTAAATATATGTGCACATACCTGCTGACAACCTGGATACTGTCATTACTAAATATGTAGTAGATTTCACAGTTTATAATGGATTTCAACATATGTTGTTATCACAATTGATTTAAAACTATTAGGTAAATGTCAACAGTAAGAACAGGAAAAATAAATTACTTAAAAAGTAAAAAAAAAAAAAAAAGTAAAAACCTCCCATTTTGAAAGCCCCTACAATAATCTTAATTAAAATTTTTTAAAAAATAAATCAAAAGCCCCTAAAAGGCAGAATAACATATATGTCACTTTATATGAAATGATAATTTGGTTTTAAGGATTTTCAATGAGAAATTTAGATAAATTACCCTACAAGTCACAAGCCAAATGAAAACTATATTCACAAGATAAATTTATGTTTCCATATAAGGAAAAAGATGACATTTATGAGGATGAGGATAAAGACAAGGGGTAAGAAATTTTTTTAAAGTCATTCAAATCTTTTTGAGGTGGGGGAGTTAAAAGATTATAATTTAGATTAATAACAAAATATAGTCAAGTCAGCTCCCAAAATGTACATGCAGATACCTCAGCACTAAGCATCAAAAATCAAATTTTATGTATTTGAAATAATAAAATTAAAATTTCACTCCAAAGTAAAAAACACATACCTTCTTTCTAATAACAGTTCATAAAAGTCTCTACTATCTTGACCAGATTTCTCCATGCAGTGATAAAATGCCAACTGACTTTCCCGATTTGCAAAATCCACCTTAAAAAAAGAAAGGGGGGGATGGGGAATCCCCACACAAATAAATAGCAGGTATTTGATACAAGCTTCAGGCTTAAATTCACAAATTCTTCTCTTCTGGAGAAACTTCTGGATATAACTATTGATTTCAATGAAGAGTCACAGTCTACATAATGGAAAACTGTCATTTTGTTAACCTGAAATCAAACTCCCTACAAATCTGACACAGAATTCTAATTTAGAGTTCTAGAACCCAATTCTGAAGGAGTGGGAAAAGCAAAATGGAAAACTGAAGCAATATCTACTAGGAATCTAGACTATCAATTACATAAACGGATGAACGAAATTCCGTAATCACTGTTGGGCATGCATTTACTAAAACAATAGCTAGAAAATGAAATAAAGAACATTTTAGTTTATTCACAGCTGAAAAGGAGATGGTTATCTATAAGTATACTAAAGGTTTGTTTTGTTAACACTTTTTCAATCTATGACAGTGATTTAAGTGTAGCACTTCCTTCAAATCACTGAAAAGTTTTTAACAGATTTATTAGACAGAAGATTATGTTGCTGGTGGTTACCCAGTCTTTTGAGGAGGAGAAAAGAGGAGGAAGAGAAAGCCATTCAGAAAGCTGGACTAACAGTTTGAGCCTCTGGGTGTGTAGATACCACAGGGTATACATGTGGTATCCAAAGCACAGAGAAGTGCATGTCTTAAGGTTTCTGGGGAAGGTGTCACAGCTTAACACATCCTGTGTTTTCATCTACTTGAGAAAAAAAAAGTCAAGAGAATGCCTTTTAAAATCTGAAGATACACACAAGTTCTGCACACTATGTTGATCATCAGTAACCTACGAAGTGCTGGCTATGAAAGGGGTTAAGATAAAAACGGAATTTTTGTCTTGCTTCTGTTTAAAATTCTCCTGCTCACCTTAATTTTATTCCCACCGATTTTTCTCCCCTTGGTCTCTTTTACAGCTGCTTGTGCATATTCAATTTCATTGTAGATAACAAGGGCCATGCCTTTTAAGCGGTCAAACACTACCTGTAAAAAAAAAACAAATTAAAAAAACCCAATTAACACAACAAAAACCCTGAGTAAGCACCTCATCCACTGGATTCAGTGTCAGTTCCAAGAAATTCCTAAGTCTAAAGGACATTGCTAAAGGTGAGGGGAGAAAAAAAAGAAAAAGAAAAAGAAAAGCCATGAGATAGGTACAGGAACTGTTTAGAATCATGGATATTGTGACTTGAGGTGTTACACTTTTGTTTTTCTATACTTACTGTCTTTATTAACTGAGTACTATACCTTACATTATTCTAATTTTAGCTTTAAAAAACCTCCACCCACCAAAACAACAACAACAAAATCAATGCCTTTGAAAAATACTGAACTAATGATGAATTTCATACACTCTTGGAAGTAACACAGTTGTTTTAAAGCTGATGGATTCTTACTTATATTGTAATATCTAAAAATGTTTATTTCTTAAAAAAAGGTTAAGTAATATTTAAAGAAGTCTCAAAATTGTCTAGTATACCTCCTCAATTATATTTAATTATATGCTTTTAAGGAGTTAAAGCTTTACCTTCACCCAACAGAATGGGATCCAGTTACTCCTTTCCTATTATGACTGTGGTATGTAAACATATTAAATATTGGTTAGGTGGATGTACAAATGTCCTTATAGACCAAATTTTGGTGAAGAAAATTATAATGCATGAGGTACTTAAGAAAAAAGGTTGTTGCTGTTGTT